AGGAGCCTTCAGTTTGCATTTACCGTGGTACCTTGGGTTACAAACACCTCGGGTTACAAACACTTTGGGTTACAGACTCTGCTAACCTGGAAGTAGTACCTCGGGTTAAGAACTTTGCCCCAGGGTAAGAACAGAAATTGCGCGCTAGTGGTGTGGCAGCAGTGGGAGGCCCCATTAGCTAAAGTGGTACCTCAGGTTAAGAATGGTTTCAGGTTAAGAACAGACCTCCGGAATGAATTAAGTTTGTAACCAGAGGTACCACTGTAAAGGGAAATCTACCAAACCCACAGCTTCCCTATCAATGTATGAATCAACACACAGCCATCCTTCAAAATCCAACTGCCTATTTCAGTTATTCCTTTGCAGATATGCTTAACTGTTCATGAGTAACCACTGGCACAGCCTCTTTGCCTTTCAGCCTTTTCTTTTCTCAGCAAAGGGGGACTTGCAACGGTGTGAAAAAAATAGCTTAAATTGCTAGGTGGTTTTTCCTCTGCTTCCCTCCCCCCCTGCCTTCAAAATACAGTTTCCTGGTTTAATTTATCAATGCTATCTACATCTTCTATTATGTGCCATCAGTGAATTAAAAGGTGTTTCCATGCTGCGCTGTGCTGAGAGATCACTTTGCCTGTGAATACTTCACCACCATATGCCGATCCCCTACTGACTTGTGGGCATCATCAAGCACACCTACAAGAGTATTTCAAGGAGAATTCAAGAGGGATAGTTTTCAGGACTACGCACTATTACAGTGAATTAATGCTGGCAAAGATACAGACAGCCGATATGGATAAGAAAATTATTTTTGCCTTCGGAAGAGCCTCTGTCATGGCCCAAAATGTGCCATTTCCTTGTTACAAGTATATGGCAGCCAGTGAACAATTCAAAACCATCATAGGTAGACATTGACAGGGAAGGAGAGTGACTCCGTCAAGTCTGTTGGAAAGGCAGTGTGGCCAGAACATCCTTGACCTCCAGACCTGAGCATTGATGTCTGCTGATGTCAGGCTTCAGGGAATCTGATCCCCCTCCCTCACAGCTGGCAGCCAGAAATGGGAAAACAATAAGTTCTTACCATGGTATTTTATTCAATATTCACAGAGAGAGAAGTCCAGTTGCACCAGGAAGTGATCTGACCATGGCACTTCTTTTGTTTTGCTTTTACTTAATGTCAGATCACCAACATCCATAGAGGTGAACACCAGGTCTAAGGCATGTCTGCGGCTATGAGTTGGGCCAAGCTTATTCAGGGACAGCCCCATGGAGGCCATGCTTTCCACGAAGTCCCGAGCAACCCCTTGTAAGGTCGTGTCAGCATGGATGTTAAAATCCGCTAGGACAACCAAGCTAGGTGTCTCCAGGAGCACATCCCACCACGACATGAAGCAGCTCGGGCAGGGACTCCTTGGCGCAGTGGGGAGGTCGGTACACCAAAAGGAATCCTGTACTGCCCCTATTGCCCAACTTCCAGACCATGCACTCAGAAAACTGGGTCTTCCCAATAGGATACCTGAGGCTGAAGGACACTGAGTCTGTCAGCTGTCCCTCCCCTGGTGTTTCTTCTTCCTGCTGTTCCTCTCCCGATATTTCCCAGCTTCTCCCCACTGCAGCCTCTGAACTATGCCTTCTGCAAACCACTGTTCTAAATCTATACTGTCCTCCTGTTCTCAGGAGGGTTCGGGGTGTGTGTGTTCCCACCATTCCTTCTTAGTCCAGTTCCTGACATCTGAGCTCCCCAATTTGGATTGCTTTGGGCTTCAGTGGTGGAATAAAATAGTGTTGCGTGTCAACCTGCATGTTGCCAGAGTCCCTTCTAATTCCTGGGGTCCTGGATCCAGCAAAGGTTAAAATTGTTGAACTAGCCAGGCAAGTTTATTGGTGACTTAATGAGCCTAAGCAGTTTACCTATGTCCACTGTTACTATAACAAAGCAAGTTGCTCTGTGCCAGAGGGGAAATGAGTGGGTCCCCTCCCTCACCTGGCTGGTAGTTAGAAGGACAATAGCAAGTACAGTGGTGTGAACTGAGCTTCCATAGAGGCAGGCGGAAGCCAGAGAGTGAGAGCCAAGCTGGATTTCTGTTTGGTTTCAAGGCTTTGACTATGGAAGAAGCAAGACCTCCTGGCGTGTTAAGTCTGTGAGGCCCCCCATCTTAGGCTCAGGTTGTATTTATGTGTTAATAAACAGTATATCATAAAGACAACACCATCTCCACCATCCCTCAGTCCAAGAAAACTGAGCCATGGGTAAGTGCCTAGAACCCCTGGAATCTCACACTGCTCTGAGGTTGGGGCGCAGGGGCAAATCTGCTATGGAACTGATGAAGCTTCTGAACCCCTAATCCCAGAGGGCCCCCCAGAAATGACTTTAGTCCACATGGTTCTAGTAAAGATATGGTGCTCTGTCGTGGAATAATCTCATTGAAGAAGATGATAATGGTTACCCAGACCTTATTGCTGGTTGAATGATAGTTCAAGCTTCAGCCCCCACCCCCCAATATAGGTCCACCACTGTTGGGGTGGCGGGCAACAATATGTTCCGCTAGAGGCTAGTACTGCCTGCTGCTGTCACCTCCTTCCAGGCTCAAAGCCAAGCTTTTGGCCCTTAGAGTGAGGGACTCAGTGGAAAATTGGCTATTAATAGATAAAAATTTAATGTTATATTATATTGAGATTAAGGATTGGGATTAAAAAGGAGGGAAAGGAATTGCTGGACAAACAAACTGAATTGGAATACAAAAGAGGGAGGTATGAGGAGGTCCAGAAAATAAGTAAATTCAAAAGTAGTGATGAAAAGATGGAATTGTTTTTAACTGTTTTTTCTTTTTCTTTTTTTTCTGTATTTTGTATTGTCTATTTTTCTTTTTACTTTTAAATTCTTGTTTTTATTGATGTGTCTCTTTTTATCTGAAACTTTAATAAATATCTTTTTAAAAAAAATAGAGTGAGGGACTCAGAGAGACAAAGGGGTTGCCTTGATTCTGCAATCAAGAACTTTAGAAGGGATGCTCCCCTATATGAGTTTTCTGGCTAGGACTCTCATGACATCCCAAGATTGAGAGAGGAAGATCCACGTATGTAAGTCCACCCCTACTGAGACTATAAACAGCTTTATTCAAACATGTGCCAGGACCTCCAAGATGCTCAGTTACTTCACTGACTACTGACAACAGATATATGAGGATCTGACCTTCTTGATGGTGACACCACTCTTCCTTCCCCAAGGATGCCTTTGAGTGTGCTCTCCTGGGTTGACCCTTTGATGTGAACAGTCCAGGTTTTGCTCTTATCAGCTCTAACCATTCTGCCAGTCCTCATTGGGGTTGCTGTCAGGTGCCTCTGAGTTGTTGCGTGTTGGTGATGGAGGCACAGCAGCCCTGATATTTGCTGGGCTCCCAAATTTGGTTGGCTCTTGGCTTCAGTGGTGGAACAAAAGATGTTCTGCTAGGGGGAGATTGGCTGCCTGTGAAGGGTCCAGATTCCCTCCCACCCCACATTAACTATTGGGATGCCAGGGTAAACTCCCTGGCATGACAGGCTATGACAGACTGGCTCCAAGAGGTATATAATCATGCTAAATAAATAACAAATGAATATCATATATAGTCCCAATTCCAGAATGATGCATATCTCAAATCCAAAATGATTTCTATCTACATGGCAATGAATGGCACATTCAGGTTTTGGAAGGGTCAGCTGAAGTTCAATACTAATGCTGCTACTGCTGCTGCTTACTCGTAGTTGTTGATTGAAAACTTGCTGGGATCCATTTGTTGCTGTTGATTTCTGATCTCTTCAGGCCAAGAGAGTGTGACACCGAAACAACAGCTATGGGTGCAGACACAAGGTAGCAAGAGTGTTAGGCTGTTATAAGGAACTAATGCTACACTAGATGGCCAGTGAGCCGTTGCATCAGTTCTTCTGTTCTTGCAAAGAACTGGCTATCTACATTTGAAAAACCTAGACAACGATCTTTTTAGCATTGATGAGCAGCACAACAATGATAAGTGTAGAGTCAGTAGCGCTCAGGTGCTCCATTTAATGTTGGCACATAGGTTTGCCAGAAGGTAGGCATACTGTCATTCTTGACTTCTCTCTCTGTTTGGGCTCTTGACATCTCAGTAGGAGGATGTGTTCAAGTGCAGGTTGGCTGTCAATCAGTGTTCCATTCAGTTCCCTAGCTATTAAAAAAAAAAGGCTTGAAGGCGAGGAATTGCTTTGAGTGAAGAGGCACCTCACACACCTTGCTGTTTTGGCAAACGTTGAAAATGTCAAGATTTCTCAACAGTCTAGGAAATTGCTTCCACTCTGGAATGCTCTGATTTAAAGACCTTCTTTTGCCCTTGAATAAAAACCAACAAAATAAGTCTAAAAGTCATGTTTGTTACTAGAAGTTCTTTCCCCTCGCAATCTGTTCTGCCTGACTGAAATGTTGAGCAGGCAGTGTTAGCAGGTGAAAGCTCAATACTGTGCAATTTATTTGCCACACAGTATTTAGCTCTTCGCTTGGCATAAAATGAAAAGAGACAGTTGGCACCATCCCACAAAAATAAATGTACACCAAGTCCTCCCCCCCTTTTTAAAAAAAGGGTTGTATTCAATGTAAGTTCTGCTCATCATAGACCCATTGAAATTAATAGACATAACTAACGTGTCTCAAAATTTCAATGTGTCTATGATGAGTAGAACTCATTGGAGTTCAACTCATCATAGACTTATCCAATGAAAAATGGCACCCTTTGTAGGGCTGGGGAACATGTGGTTCTCTAGAAGTTGTTGGACTCCAACCCAACATCCCTGACCATTGTCCATGTTGACTTGGGCTGATGAGAGTTGGACTCCAACAACATTAGGTGGGCCACCGGTTCCCCTTCCCTGGTGTAGCTTGACCAGGAGAGATTGTTCACTTCCTTTTAGCCTGTCAGACCCTAGCAACCATGAAATTTTGATTGCATCACTTCCTGCCGGCGGCACGAGGGAAGTGTGCGCATACGTAGTGCATACATAGACTGCTGCAGTGTTGAGAGAGGTCCAAATGTGTGATTTAAAAACAACAGCACCTGGTTGGTAGGAATCTTCTCCTGATGTGGGCTTTGCCCTGCTTTCAAACTCAGTGAATTCACAAATGTGACACCTTATTTGAAGACTGGGGAAACGATATCAGACCTATATCCACATGGGGAAATGACATATCAGGTCAGAGCCCCTTTAGAAGTCTCCAGGAATCAGGGAAGCAACATTTAGTCAATATATTATTTGTTTATTTTAATACTTGTATCCAAACTTTCCATCATTTGGGGAGCCACAGAAGACTTTCCAGCCACATTAAAACTAACAATTAAATGACATCAAACCAAAAAGTTAAAAAAAATTACAATTTTTAAAAAAAACTAGAGCAGAACAAAAGAGAAGTTTATATTCAGAAGTATCACTGGCAAAATTTATTTGGGTGGGTGAGTACGTAGGGCTTGTAATTGTTTTGCTGATGCTTTGTTAATTATTCTACACAATTCATGCTGTATTTGTGATGTTTGGCTATGTTCTGTCATGGTATGGTTAGCCGGTTTGGGATTCATTTGAATGAAAAGCTGCATAGAAATATAATGAATCAAATCAAACCAGGTCTCATTTTTTCACCCAGACAAGCAAAAGGCATGAGTAGAATTTCAAGGATGCATTTTAGCTAGACAAATAGGGGTTCAAAGGGTAGCCAGTGAGTGGTGTGTCCTGGGGAGAGTTCTGCCTTCCAGCTGACCAGAATCATCTCTGTCTTGCCTGGATTGCTCCATTTCAGCCAAATGATGCCACCTTATCATTCAGAAGGTCAAACGACAGCTCAGCTTTGCGAAACCGGTAGTGTAATATTGGCTGTGTATCTGGCATTGTCAAAAGCAGATGTTCTCAAAGTGTGCTATGCTAATTAACTCTGTTGCTTAAACAAACCTGTTCCTGCTTCCTCGGGAGGATTTAGCTCCTAAGATTCATTCTTGTCACAGGTCCATAAAAAAGCCGATTAAAGAAAAGCAAAGGACAGGAGCCATGCAGAATCACCACCTTACTGGGTCTGAATGCACTCAATCGGTTCAACAAGTGTGTGGCAATTGGCCTGCAGGGCGAGGCTCCATCCAGTTGGGCTGGGTGTGTTGGCACTCCTTTTTCCTGGCCCGTTGAATGACTTCTACAAAAACAGGCCTAGGAATGTTCATGCCTCTTCAGAGAGACCCACCTCACACTTTGAGAACCAGCAATCTGGAAACTTATTAAAGTGTTAAGTGTGTAATAAAGTGTATATTGCAAAATTATAGGTCATCTTGGCTGGCTGCATTTATTGCTAATGTTAAACATGTGAACGGAAAGGGATGTTAAAGAAAATGAGTGATGGTTATAAAATTTAAAAAAGGCTTGTGGAGAGAATTTAGTGGAAAGTGAGTCTGGGTTTTTTAGCCAGAAATAGCAGTTTTTTTCAATAAGAATAATAATGGGTTTTAGATTTTCTTTCTGTGAGGTTCCTGGAATTCCAACAAAAAAGCCCAGCAGAGGAATTGCAGAGTCCATACATCTGGAGAACATAAAATAGGATTTATCGCTCTGGAGGAAATCGCAAGTGTACAAATGCCTGTTTCAACACTGTTCATAACTGAATGTATTTGGCAGGGGAGCAAAGAATTAGACAATCTTTACAGCCCAGCTTTTGATCCAGACCTGCACAGTAAATAACACAACACCAGCTGCGTCCCTTGCCCCTGTGCACACAAAAGATTTGTGTTTTAATGCATAAATGGGTATACCACCTACTGGGAAACTCCTTAAAGACACCCACCCCCACAAGGTCAATCCTATTCCCTATGCAGAAGGAACTTGTGCCATGCATGAAGTGATGGTGTTGCAAAACTCTGTTGAATGGCATCCTCTGATCACTGCAGGCTCACACAAAAGTGAAACACACACACACACACAAACCTTTGTTAGTCACATTTGGTGGTGCTACCACTGGGGACTGCCTGAATGGTGTTAATTCATGATAGGGTCTTCTTGTCTGTGGTTCCCTGTTTGTAATCTGTCTTCCCTGTCCAGGTGCACCTGTTGTCCCCATTATTGACTTTAAGAAGGAATTTACAAACTTTATTGTTTACTCAGGCATTCATTGGCTGAAAGATACTCTTCCTGGCAACTCTGGACTCACTGACTAAGAAAATGTATGTAACTGTTTTTAGCATACTTTTTTTTGAAATAGTGCGTTTGCCTCCTTGGGCTCCTTTGGGAGAAAGGTTGGAATATAAATTGAATAAATAATAATAATTTAAACTGCAAAGCCAGTAGCTGAGGTTTTCTATCAAGGGACCGTAGGCAGAACTGCCCAGGGTTAATTCTTTACTTCACATAACATTGATTATTATTACATATTATCTTTATTCATCACTTTTCACAAAAAGATTTCTCAAAGTAGCTCACAGTTAATAAAATACAATTAAGCTAATAAGCAGAAGCACAACTTCCCAAGATATCATACCTCTTTGGTTTGTTTAATTTGCTTTATTCAAAGATCTTGTTATTAGATTTTTACAGTTCATTTTTAATATGACGAATGTGTGCTTGTTTGATAATATACTGTAACGAAACCTTTTGTACATTTGAAAACTACTATGCAATTAAAAAAAAGATAATAAGCATTGAAACCAAATGTACGGAATCAACAAAATAACAAAATATTCAGAAAGTGCATTTCCATCAACAATTGTAAGGACTAATACCACCCAACCCATGACAAGACATATAACACCAAACAGGCCGGAAATCATACAACAGTCCATTCTAATTTAATAACGCAAAGCCATTGTTTCTCAGAACTTTCTGAACTCACCCCACTCTACAAAGGGTTGAAACTAAAGAAGAAAAAGTAAAGATCCCTTCCATGGACTTTCCCCTCTGCTGCTTCTTGAACCAGACCTGCTGCTTCTATTTGCCCTGCTGAATGACTGGAGTCTTGTAGAGATAAGACGAAAGGCAGTCACAATTCTGGAAAAAGGAGTGGAGAATGGCTAGGGAACCTGTGGCCCTTGAGATGTTGCTGGACTCCACCAGGCAGTGTAACCAATGGACAGGGATGATGGGAGATACAGTCCTACAGCATCTTGGAAGGTCACAGTTTCCCCACCCTTGCAGCAGAGGAGGACTGGTGTCTAGCCAGGGGATTTTGCCGTCTCTCTGTAGCTATCGAGTCAGAAAGGCAGGTGTGTCCCCATCTAACCTCCCAGCTGAGGAAAACGTCAACTGCTCAGCATGCATGGCTGAGCTGACGGTCCTTCCTACCACCTGAAAAGCTCTAAAATAAGAAGCACATTTTGAAACTAGGAAACTTATTGTTGATTTTGAAACTAAGAAACTGTTTGTTGTGGGTGTCAGGACAGCCCTTTATCCAAATATAGAAGGGGTGTGCACTGGCCACAAGATTCAACGTGTATCTATCTGTAGCTTTGGGAAGCAGGTCTGATCTGTTTCAGAGCCACTCTAATTCACTTTTTAATTTGGGGTGCAAGCAGAACTGATGCAACCCCCCCCCAATATGCCATCCTTGTGATGTATTCAGTTAAAATGGATTTTTTGCAGTTACAATGTATCTTACACATAAACAAGATCCATAAATAAACAAAACAGGGGGCAGGTCTACTTCATGCCTACCTGAAGGTCACTTTTATTTCTCAAGAGGAGTCCATCCACAATTTGATAAGCAGTGACACCATGTTTCTTTTGAGGCCCCCTGGCTTAAAAAACCCCCCAACAATCTTGAAAGCACAAGTTGGAAAGATCCAGTTCTGAAGAGTAGACTGCCATATTGCTAGTGTAAAATGTAATAAAGTTACATCTGAAATGTTAGATCTACAGGAAATACAAAGGCCACTATTCCTCTACCCCTGGTTGGTTTACGCGTAGCAATTTTATATTTATGTCCAACAACTGCTTGAAAACTTTTGGGAAGAAGAGCTGTTCCCTTCATTTACATTCCAGCACCAAAGAAAATCATAACCTCTCCAGACATAAAAACCACTGCTTCAGGGAAAGGCAGGCCAGGAAGATGGTCAGCTCTGAAGACTAGATCAGCCCAGTGGGTCACTAGAATAGGAGAGATAGTCCATAATTTACACTTCCTGGAACCATGTGCAAATCCAAACACAGCTATCTTTCAAAAGGTGCACTTCTCCAGATTTTGCAATGCAGTTATTCAGCCAAAAAAGAATGTGGACAAGGATGCATCTGTTAGTAAGAATGCTATACAATAATAGCATGCCAAATAATATAGAAACTATACGAAAATAATACAATGGAAGCTTTCAAAAATGTGCCGAGTGGGCAAAAATGTATAGGTTAGGAGAAGTGTGTGCTAAAATTCTGATGACTTCTTGTGAAGACTTTTTTAAAAAAATAAATAAATCACAAACTGATACTGCAATTAATATTGGGAATGTGAGACAAACCAAAATTGGTGGATATGTCCATCCACAACATCTCTCTCTCTCTCTCTCTCTCTCTCTCTCTCTCTCACACACACACACACACACACACATAGAGAGAGAGAGAGAGAGAGAGAGAGAGATTGAATGTGTGCTCTTTGCTTGGAGAATAAACCAAACTTCACTGGAAGGAGAAGCTAAGACAGTGCATGGGCACTAAATTCTCAGAGACACAAGAAATTTAAGGATGTGCTTAATTACATACATCTAAAGTTACTATGGTGCTGAGCCCTTTCGCCTGACCTCTCTGATCCACAGGAGGTGTAAATCAACATAGCTGCACTGAGGTCAATGGGGTTCTGCTGATTTATACAACTGGAGGGTCTGTCCCACTGAGCATAATACAAGACTAATGACTCCTGCAATCACTTCAGCCCTGGCAGCTCCAACGAGTGCAGTTTCGTGTTAGTTATGTATCCTGCACGCACACCAGAGCTCCAACTTACTGTAAATAGAAAGGAGAGTGCCTTGTTGCTGAATAATTTATTGCACATTAAAAAATGGCCCAAGGCAATAGGCTTTTCAGGTTCCACAAAAGCCTTATGCACTTCCTCCCGGTGCAATTACGTAAAGGAAATGCTGACTTTCTGAGCTATGAAATATAGATTAGCCATTCAGTCAGAGATCAAAAGTACCCTTTGCAACAGGGAAGGCCTCCTTCATCAGGTTTTCAGATCTCTTGCTCTCACATTCTTACAGCAATTGCCAAGTTTAATTCAGTTCAGTCTACCAGAGGGAAATAAGAGGGACATCACAGCCATCTCTAAATAGTTCAGTGGAAGCAGTTATCACATCTGTTGACCAAAAATGGAACCTCCTGATGATTCTTGGGTACAAAGGCAAAACTCACAGACTTGGGACCAGACTTGTCAATGACAAAGGTGACAGTTAGGTGCTTAGTTCTCAAGGATTCAAAGTGTGTTTTAGACACAGATGTGCAAGTTTCCAGCACAGTAATGAGCGATGCCAGCACCAAAAGCAGGTTTTCAACAATGCCCTTCCTCATCCCTCAGGACCAGCAAAATATTGTGTTGAGAATGGCTGGGGGCCTTTAAAAGTAGTGATGCCTGAGTGCCAGTCTCTCATGGCTGAGAAAAGACTGTCCTTACCAGTAAGTAAGTTTTGCAAATGTTCACTTTTTATCCAAAGAATACAAATTTAATTTGGGGTAGCCAACATAGTGCTATCCTGATGTTGCTGAACTCCGGTCAGCTCCAGCCCAGCAGAGATGGTGTGAGTTGCAGTCCTAGATTGGGAGGGTGCCTCATTGGCAACCGCTTAATTAATCACAGATTCTTTCTGTGAAATAGTCATAAGATAGGTGCATTGCAGATTCCTCTGTATCCTAAGCCTGGTGATATCAGTGCAAGCCCTATGTCAAGGTAACCCTTTGTGTAGGGCTCATATTATATGACCTTCCAAACATATTGGCTATAATCCAGCACAGAGTTAAGTCCACTTAAGCTCTCTGAAATCAATAGGCTTAAGCATACCAAACTCTGGGCTGAGCTCATGACCACTGGGCACAGTCCAATGGCAGGTGCACTCAAGCTACATTGAAACCAATAACAATTAAGCACTTAAATCTCATTGATCTCAATGGAATTTAGGCACCCCTGGCTTCCGCTCATCAGCTATCCCCTAGTCTATTAGGATGTGCAATTATGCTCTATAAGCATAGCTTGGTAGGGCACAAGAATGTAGTTTCTTTCATTACTCCATTCATTTGCAAAGAGCTCTCAACTGTTTGGTTACTCGTTCATGCATAGGGATGAGAGAGAAATTTGATTCAGTTCACATTTAAAGATGAATCTATCAAATTCGCATGTTCTAAAACAATATGAGCATCAAAATTTGCACTTACCGAATTTTACAACGCAGTTCTCGAATCAAGCAGAGATTAATATATTAAGGGTTAATGTTGTCCAAATGAATATACTGGCGAAAATAACACAAAGTATTGTTGCATCAAGAGAAATTGCTTGCGAAAATGTGTACGTGAGTCAAAACTACGTCCAAAAATACATTTATTAGGAGAAATTGGCACTAAAATGCTGAATGTTTTTCATAAGGGTTTCTTTCAGACCAAAGGCAAATTGCTGGAGAAATCTGGAGAAGTGAATAGAAGATTGGAAAAATAAGAAACTGAGGGGACTGGAATTGACAGATCCTTCCATCTCTAGTCATGAATGTCACATTTATTTTGCCATCCGTGTGTTTGTTGCATTACACACATTTCCAGCAGTGGTCTTCACAGTGACTGCCATGCTTTGTTTACCCACAATACCCTGGATGTTGCATTGCTCCAGGACATCTGGGAGGAAATAATAGGGGAGAAATGCCAGCTGACAGCCATAAGGAGCATTCACCAGAGTACATTCTTCTGCCACTGGAGACAGATAAACTCCTTACCCATCCCAAGTGGCACAAAGTATGAATAGGACTCTTGAATGGGATTCCCATTTAGACTTCTGAAGCATTCATTTCTGACTGAATGAAAATTGAACTAAATACGCTCCATTCAGTTCACTATTTCATCCAGCCCAAATTGCAAAACAATTATCTCTGAGGCAGAAGACAACAATGGACGGTACCCACTAAAGTAGTTCCATTAGAACAAAGATTTCTGTTTGGCCCATGGAAATTCCCTTTCCTCTCTCTCCTCACACGCCCCTCACACTCTCCTCAAATCTGCTCCAGACAGATGGGGGAACAGATTTAGGGGGAATGGGAGAGAAAATGGGGAAGGTAAACTCTGTCGCACAGCCACATATTGTTGTGTTAATGGAATAACTTTGCTGAATGATGTCCAATGACTCAAAGAGTGAGTTAGCATCAGGGCTACCTGATGCCTAATCCCCTGAGAGCTACAGGTCACTCTGGGCCATCCAACCCAAACTGTAGCGATCCGTAACTGTCTGTTCCCAACTCATCTGATGCCCAAGTCCCTCCAAATATGCCTGATTTGACTTGGGCCTCAGTTGGTATGCAACTACTGTGTAAACCCCCCCCCCCCCCATGTTAGCATTTAACAGAGTATTAGTCAATGAGTATTGAAACATTTCCCGCAAACAGGTTTTCACTCACACAATGTTTTGTTTTACTCAAAAGTCCTACTACATTCAATAGAACTTAATTATTAGCCCCAAGGCCCAGTTCCCTTAGATTTCACTTAGGAGAAGATGCTGTCAAAGCAATACTTTATGAGGCCTCTTTTGATGTTCCAAGGAAGTGGTAAGAAAGGAAGGTGGGAGATGTATGTTCTCCTAAGGTGGCCTGCCACTTGTATTTCCTATCTCACAGTTCTTGTCAAATGCTCCCCCCACCAAAAGGTGCCACCTGACCAGAATAAAATGACCCAACCTATTCCTGCACCTTATTGAATAGACATGTGTAAGATTTTCCTGTCTGCCTACAACAATCAGATACTTTCTCCTCACCCAGGTAGGAAGTTTCCTCTTTGGATATCCTTCTTTTGAAGCAGGCTAGACCAGTTCGCGGCATAACATTACATAAGCCTCCCGAGACAGCTTTTGAGTGGCATGTCACAGTGACAGCGCACAAAATTGTCGTCTAGGGTATCAAATGGGATTACCATATAATAGAGAGATGGAGAGGGAAATGGTTTGACAAGCAATGATGTGCCAACGTTTTAACATAAAAAGCGCTTGCCAGATCAAATGCACTTTCTCTCTGTGGATGGAATATTAGCTGCGGCAAACTTAGTCATGCCATCCTTGTATAATCCTCACTATGGTACAGCCATAGGGATGCAAGACATCAAGGCTTCTGCTTGAATACTGGGCTCGGGATGGAACCCCGTGGCAAAACTCCTTTTGATTTCAATGATAGGCTAAGATCCAAGAGGAGCAGTTGTGGCTGGTGGGTGGAGCAAAGGCCAAGAGCTGCCCTCCCAACACAGGCACTGCTGCAGCTTACCTAGAGGGTGGGGTAAGGGGGCAGTGAAGTCAAGGTTGTGTGGATGCACTGGATTGGCTGCACTGGGGCATCCACCACCCTGACCCACCCCAGTGCCATCCAGGCAACCTGCAGTGATGCCAGTGTTGGGAGTTCACCTTGGCTACACCTGCAAAAGAGGAAAGGGAATGAGAGGTGTTCCTGAGCTCCACCTGTTCTCATTCATGACAAGCTGGATTCACCAATATACCATATTCCACACAGCTGTCAGAAGCATAGGGGTCCTCTTCTCCTTTGTATTTGGTCATGCTACTGGAAGGTCAAGGTCAAGGACCCCTGGATGGTTAAGTCCAGTCAAAGGCGACTATGGGGTTGCGGCGCTCATCTGGCTTTCAGGTCGAGGGAGACTGCGTTTGTCCACAGACAGCTTTCTGGGTCCTGTGGCCAGCATGACTAAACCACTTCTGACACAACGGGACACTGTAACGGAAACCAGAGTGCACAGAAATGTCATTTACCTTCCCGCTGCAGCGGTACCTATTTATTTACTTGCACTGGTGTGCTTTTCAAAGTGCTAGGAGCTGGGACAGAGCAACAGGAGCTCACCCCATCGTGGGGATTCAAACCACCGACTTTCTGATTGACAAGCCTAAGAGTCTCAGTGGTTTAGACCACAGCGCCACCTGCGTCCCACATACTGAGAGGATATAGTGTGAAAGGACCATGAGGCTGCCACCTTGCTGGTCAGCATTTGGATGACAGGCCACCTTAGAACAACCAGAAGAAAGGTGGGATAAAAATTTTAAGGAAATAAATAGGAAGAAATGAATGAATGAATGAATGACTGCAATCCCAGTACTTTGCCTTTACTGAAATCAATATGACTTACATAGGTGTAAACATGGTCAGGACTGATCTGTACTGCATAGGAAAGGAACCCAATATAGCTTTTATTACCAAATATAAAGTGTATTCTACCTGGAACTGGCACTGTTACAGGTACCACATGATAGTCATTCTGCACTTGTAAGAAGTTAGCATGGTGACACCTAGACTTTGGAACTCCCTGCCAATTGACATCAGGCATGTGCTTTCACATGTTTTGGCACCTGCTAAAAACATTTTTGTTCAGGCAAGCTTTTTTAGACGTGCATGACGTGTGTTTTAATCTGTTTTTAGCTTAAATATTAACTTTAATTATGTTTTGACTTTTCTTAAACATCTGCTTTTAATTTTGTCTTTCATTGACACGTATAACACTTGCTTCATTAATTTTTTTTAGATTTTTTTAAAAAAGAAATTCTACGAAACAGGACAATCATGTAGATATAGTTTTCCTAAAATTTCAGTTCTTGGAAGAACAAAGAAAAAGAAAAAAAAACACATTGTGTTCCATCTTAAACAATGAGGGAGGGACAGTGCAGGATACTTCAGGAACCCAGGAAAATGTGCAGCGCAGCATGATTTTATTTAAACAACTTTAGTATCAACAAGTTCTGAAGAGTTAAGTCTTCCAGAATGTTTCACGGCTGGCTGGCTAAGGCTACATTCAGACAGCACTTTATTCTGCTTCCCCAATGTTTCCTTACCTGACAATGACCACATTTTATATGATCTTTCACATGATGGAAAAGTCACTTATGGAAATCTAGCAGAAGTTTAGTGCTCGTTTCCCTGTCAATTGCTTCCAAAAAAGATATGTTTGCATCCCGTTAACCTGAAAAATTGTGGGAGTTTTGCGCTGTAATTTTCCTGCAATATGATGACAATTTGAGCGGTATTCTGGCATACGGCTCTCCACCCCCCCCCATTTTCACAAGTTAATCCTAAGGGAACAGAAGCACACATGCTCATAAAGGTGGCGACATGTCCAATGATGTTCACTGTTGTGTCACACGGAACCCATTGTTGTGAATGAAATTTAGTGCAACGTAGTGATAAAAGCCCCCCACCAACCACAGTTCCAAAATGCAACAGGAAATACAGTGCAAACAGAATGTTAGAAACCGGGACAGAAGTGCTGACATTATAATCAGAAAAGCTAATGTGAAAATCTCAAAATCTGGATGCACCCTAGGTCCAGCAAGTGTAAGAGAATCACAACATGAGGTCTACGTAAAACAAAGGCTGGCACTCCTCCAGATTCTGGTATGACGTAACTGCTAGGAAAATGTGAAGTAACAACAACAACAACAGTAATAATAACAACTTACTATTTATACCGTACCCATCTGGCTGGGTTTCCCCAGCCACTCTAGGCAGCTCCCAACAGAATACAGTAGTACATCTGGTTACGAACACTTCTGGTTATGAACGCTTCAGGTTACGAGATCCGCTAACCCAGAAGTAGCTGCTCCTAGTTGCAAACTTTGCCCCAGGATGTGAACGGAAATTGCGCACCGGAGGCGCGCGCACAGCAGGAGGCACCATTAGCAAAAGCACGCCTCAGGGTAAGAACAGTTTCAGCTTAAGAACAGACCTCCAGAACGAATTAAATTCATAACTAGAGGTACCACTGTATTAAAAACACGATAAAACATCAAAAATTAAAAATTTAGGAAGTAAATTTTAGGTTTATATATGGATTTTGAAACACATGGGGGAAAATACTGCACGTCTTGTGAATTCCTAGAACATACTTTCTACTCCCACTTATGCTTGGTTGGAAATGTCACCCTTGTCCCCATGTTAGAGGGTCTAGGCGAGACAGTTTAACATTCATCTGGCCTCTGCAAGCAGGCTGTTGCTTACATGTTCCCCTCGCTTTATGTTGGCCTTCTTCCTAGCTGCGTTGCACAATTTGGTGTCCTCCACCTACCTCCTCCTCCTCCTCTTCCTCTTGCTTCACCTCAAGCTATGAATAAAGAAAGGCAGTTGGTGTTTGGGTGTCGTGTTACTGATTCAACAACTTGCATACCTTTCCTCTGAATCGCTCTTCCTGAGCCCCTCTCTGCACCAGCGGCTGCTCCCGCTTATGTAAAAGCAACACGAGCTTGCTGACAAAGAGCAACAGCACTGGGAAGCACTGCCAGGCGTGATGGGGGAAGGATGTAACAGGGGAGGGCTGTAGCTCAGTGGCGGAGCATCCTGCCTTGCACGCGAAAAGTCATCGGTTCAATCCCCATCATCTCCACTTAGTGCAGCCAGTACATGGCTAGATGGAGCGATAGTCTGATGCAGTTAGGGAGGTGGGAGAAATCCGATTCAGTTTGCATTTCAAAGCGAACTTACCCAAGTCACATCTGCCCTATTGAAACACAAATGGAAACATGGCTCTCCTTCGAAATTTGCACTTCTCTGAATTTTGCAGCGCGTTTTTTTTCCAGCCAAGTAATGTGTCTAAAAATGCATGCTCCAGGGTAAAGTGTGCCTGAAACACACGTTAGTGAAAATAGCATACAAATCTGCAAAAAAGTGTGTATGGTGCAAAATTTCACACAAAAATGTGAATATTAGGAGGGATGTGCACTGAAATGCTGATGAAGTTTCACATATTTATAGACATACATACATACATACATACATATCTATACAAACACAAAAACTGATGTGAGAAACTGGGAGGGGGGGGGATAAAGAAAAAAGGAGAGAGACCAAAGTTGACAGATTTGTCATCCCTGGACTCAGTATAATGGCAGCTTCCTATGTTCTCATCAGCTATGGTTCTAGGGGACTTACTGGAAAGCAAATCTCACTGAAAGGAATGAGAGCATACAATGCAATTCTAAGCACTGAACGTAGAAGCAAGTCCCAGTGAATTCAGTAGAATGCAACCCCAACCCCACTTACCTGAGTCAAAACCCCACTGAATTCAATAGTGTTTACTTCTGAGTAGATGTAGTTAGGACAGCCCTGTTACTTCCAAGTTAATATGGTTGTAAGTAACCTATGCATGCTCTCTAGATATGCGATATTGCAATGTTCCCACACCTTGAATGTGATGAGGATTAGAAAGAGGAAACTGGCACCTGGGAGAAGAGTAAAGCCCCATTTCCTCCCATATCTGCTGCCAATTTAGCGTTGCAGGGATGCACGCTACTTTCATCACCTTGAAAAATGCAGAATTCAGGATGTGCCTTTGGCAAGATATCGCTTGAGGTGTTTTTACGGCACTGTGCTTTAAGAAATGACCTGCTGCCAATTTTAAAAAGTTACTTGATGTTGCTATTGGTGGTTTATTCTATTGTTTTAATAGCTGAAAGCTTCTTATATAGGCCACTTCCTGTTTATAAGAGTGGTTAATGGGGCGGCACATCATGCTAGGTGCAAAAGCCAGTTCAGGCCACAACCCAGTACTGAGGAAGGACTGTAGCTCGGTGGTGGAACATTGATATCGGAATTGTGCACCTCAAACAGCACTTAAAGGCGCAAGAGCAGGTCAAAACTTGCTTTTTGTCCTTTGGCCACCTCACTGGGATGTCCGACACTCCAAAAACTAGATGCATGCAGCCTGTAGAACAGTGTTTCCCAAACTTGGGTCTCCAGCTGTTTTTGGACTACAACTCCCATCATCCCTAGCTATAGCAAGATAAGTGGTCAGGGATGATGGGAATTGTAGTCCAAAACAGCTGGAGACTCCTTAAGTTTGGGAGACAGTGCTATGGAGTTTTCATCTCTCTCTCTTTTTGCCTGGAAAAGGCCCAAGATGCTTATGCACAGCATGAAGAGGCAGTGAAAGAAGAGCTTCACCTGTTGAATTTCTACTTATTAAAGGCACAGGAATTCTACCAGGAAGCAAATGTGCCAATTGGCTCCGTGGACCATCCATCTGTTGACCAGTCCTGTTCTAGCTTGTCCACAGATGAAAATGTCAAGGTACCTCCCAAAAGGCTGTCCCATTTGACAAGCCTTATACAGAAGCCCAAATCCTTATACAGCTGTAATTTCATAGACATGAACAGAGATCTGAAGCTGATCCTAGGAGACTATCCTTTTGTGAGCTTTGAAGAGTTGAATAAGAGTCCCCCAACATGTAGGACATACCTAACTCTTTGTCATTTCAAACTCCGTTTCATAACCCTTCCATTATTTATTCTGTACATCATCCTATCATGTTGGCATGGTAACTGCCTAAAATTGGTAACAGGCTGAGCTTTTATTGCCGTTTAATCAAAAAGTTTTCAGTACACCACAATGCTCTGAGTACAGAAGCTAAAAATATTTCTCTCCTTGGAGAATAAACAACTGTAGCATGTTTTACTTACATGCAAAAGAGAAAAGGCCTGAATTTCTTCCCAAGCAAGAACTCAAGTTTGTGTGTAGTTCACCAGCACTAAGTAATCTCCTGAATGCTTTATCTTGAATGTATTTTATTTCTCAGCAGTCACATTCAATTCCATTATTTTATTTTGCTACGTTTTCATCCTGCATTTCCTCCAAGTTTCTCAGGACCATGTATATGCCAGTTTTCCAGCAGCCTCTGATTTTATTATCACAACAACCCTGCGAGGTTGTTTAGGTTGAGTTAGAATGGCCCAATATGAGTTTTACAGATCAGCAGGGATTTGAACCTTGATCTCCCTGGCCCAAGTCTGATAGCCCCAAATCACCTCCCCATCCTCGCTCTCAGGCAACTGAGATATTAGACAAATCCTGTTGTTGTGGAAGGAGTCTTAAATTCACAGGTAACGTCCAGGTTAGATTATGGTATATGGAAGCCACATGGGTTCAAAATGCAGTGACTGAGGGCACAATCCACACTTACTTTTTGCTTTCTAGGCACAAGTCTGCACTGTAAGGCTCTGTATCCAGCATTTCTGTTTTTTGACCCGCCACTTTCTCCAAAAGAAAACCACTCCTTAATGCTGAATCAGAACAAACAGCAATTTGGGTTTCCCTTGTATTGTTGCTTGCTCTGATTCAGCAGCAAGAGCGGGTTTTCATTGACAGGCATAGTCTAGGATGCCCATTGGGGGTGCCCATTGGTTTAACAGACACACTGAGGTGAATGTTGACCAACGAGGCCATGGTGTGCCTCTAGGGCTCTTACACCCAAGGTCCACGCAGAGGGGAGGGAGGAATCTTAGGAAACCTTGCTGTGTGCACACAGAGTGCAGCTGTTAACTTTGCCCAGGTGATGGGAGTAGAAATTACACCCATTTATTAATGGACAGCTGCCCGGACTTAAGTGGATTTGGTTACATTGGTCGAATCTGACCAGTTAATTTGTTTTGCAGATCCTCAAGTTGTTATATTTAATCAATGTAACCTATTGATCCACATTTGATTGTCTTGACTCTTCTTCCTGGTGTGCTGGCAAAGCACCGGTAGAAAAAAAAGGTGTTCTGACATGGAAGTTTAAAGTGCAGCCCTGTTTCTAGCATGAAAGGAAGTATGTATGTACAGAATATTAACTGGATCTCGCCATCTGGAACATGGTCTTCAATTCTGTTGCACCTTCACTGGTTACCAGTTTGTTTCTGGGCCCAGTATAAGGTGCTGGTTCAACTGACGGTATCAACTATCTCTTGAAGGAGGTGTGTTTGGATATTATTACCATCAGTGATATTTTTCTAGAAAAAGGGATGTCGGATCTCACCACGAACACCTCCCTTGTTCTCTTATAATGGCAATGGTGCCCACCTGAGAGATGCCAGAACTGAGTTCTGGTGAGTTCCGGCTGTAAAAAGGCTATTCTTATTATCATTAATTACAGTCTCATCCAGGTAAGCTATACATGTATACAGTACTATTTTTCTAGAAAAATGAACACCTCCCTTGTTCTGTTATAATGGCATTGGCGCCCACCTGAGTTCCAGCAACTGCCAGTTGGGGGGGGGGGAGCCCTGCATGTATACATGTACAGTGGTAACTCAGGTTACAGACGCTTCAGGTTACAGACGCTTCAGGTTACAGACTCTACTAATCCAGAAATAGTACCTTGGGTTAAGAACTTTACCTCAGGATGAGAAGAGAAATCGCATGGCGGTGGCGCGGTGGCAGCAGGAGGCCCCATTAGCTAAAGTGGTACCTCAGGTTAAGAACAGTTTCAGGTTAAGAACGGACCTCTGGAACGAATTAACTAAACCCACAGCTTCCCTATCAATTTCCCCCTTGTTCCTGGTACAGTGGTACCCTGGGTTACAAACACCTTGGGTTACAAACACTTTGGGTTATAGACTCCGCTAACCCAGAAATAGTACCTCGGGTTAAGAACTTTACCTCAGGATGAGAACAGAAATCGTGCTGCGGCTGCGGGAGGCCCCATTAGCTAAAGTGGTACCTCAGGTTAAGAACGGTTTCAGGGTAAAAATGGACCTCCAGAACGAATTAAATTCTTTACCCGAGTTACCACTGTAATTAAAGCTGGCTTTGGATCGATGATAAATAAGTTATGGCCTGATGGACCTCCTAGTGGATGCAGTGGACAGCACCAAGTATTTAGAGTGCTGGGTGGAGACAAGGAAAGAGCAAGACCAATAAATCACACACCAAGAGGCAACACCTGTGGAAAAGGATGTCCTTACAGACATGTCCTACCAAAGGCTATGGCTATTATGACATTCCCCAAAACCAGGAATACAAGTTTCAAAGGCACCTTCTGTGTCCTTGCCTAATTATTAGAGTTCACCCAGAGACTGGCTTCCAGCTAAGTTTCTCAGCTCCGGCTGAGCTGTTGCATCAGCGAAAGCGTTTCACGTGGGAGGAGCTCAGGCTGCAAAACCAGCCCGTAGGAAAGGAGTGGCGGAATCCCTGGTTGCAACAGCCCACCTCCGGCAGCGTGAAGAAAGAATGCATTCCCCATGGGGAGGGCTCCGGCTGCTCTGTGCGTGGAAACTGGCGAGAAGCGTAATGGAATCTGCACAAACCTTCAGAGGGGTCGTTAAAGCCAGCCCGCCGTGGTGAAAAGCATGGGTGGCCAAGAGGCCAGGGGAGGCAGGTGGGAGGAGCAGGGAACATTACACCAGAGTGTTTTACAAAATAATTTCCTCCTCTCCGCAGTAGAACAGGCATTTTCCTTATTCAGCTTTATAGGAAGGCGGATGTCGAAGCAATGATAGAAAGATCACTGTTAATTCCTGCGATATCAGTTGCCCCAAGGATTACCTCCACTGTGGACAATGACTCACAATTTAAAGCAGATTCGATACTCATTTCAAGGAGTGACTGAGATTCACCTTGTAAATATTGCAG